ATAAACATACACACAAACACACACACACAGTAGCGAGCATAAAGATCAGAACGATGTTAAGAAAAAGTCTAAATATGAAATAACTTTTTATTTTAAAGCCTCAAAGAACATTTTATGAAGGAAAAATAAGGATATAAAGGTAAATTATATAATTCCAAAATATAAAGCTCAATAAACTTATTTTGATAAAGTTATAAGAATAATTATATAACATTTAAAAAAAATAGATGATCAAAAACATCAGAACCATTAAATAAATCCATAAAATTTAATAATTATTTTGCATTATTGAAAGTTTTTTTAGGTTAAGAATATAAAATCGGGTATTTTACTAAATTACACCGGCTCTTTACTGGATTTTGCATTGTAAACATGATATTTCAAAGAGTGTGGGGAAATCTAAAAGTGTTGTTCATAATATTTTAAGAAAACTTGATGAAACTGGATCATGTGAAGCCAAGAAACTACCTGGCAGGCCTAGGAAAACTACTGCAAGTAAAGACAGATGTATTAGTAATGAATAAAAAAAAGGATCGATTAGCATTAAAATATCAAGGCACACTATTTTCCGAAGACTTAATGAAATAAATCTGAACACTCGAGTAGCCTCTACGAAGCCTTACATTTCTAAAAAGAATCAAATGAGCCGATTGAAATTTGCCACTGAACACGTCATATGGACAGAAGAACAGTGGGATTGTGTTCATTTCAGCGATGAGTCAAAATTTAACCTGTTCGGTTGTGACGGGAGAAGATTCGTTCGACGCAGTCCTAAAGAACGATATTTGCCTCAGTGTGCTAAAAGCAGCGTTAAATTTGGGGGAGAAAGTGTGATGGTGTTTGGCATGATTTCAGTTCAGTCTTGTTAGACTACACGGTAAAATTAACGCAACTGTATACAAAGAGATATTGAGGAAACATGTTGTACCTAATTTGAGAACTGCAATTAATCAACCAGCTGTATATATGCAAGATAACGCGCCATGTCACACAGCGAAGTCTGTCAAGACATTTCTTTCTGAGGAGGATGTTACTGTTATGGAGTGGCCTGCTCAAAGCCTAGACATGAATCCTATTGAGAATGTTTGGAAGTTACTAAATGAAAGCTAAGGAAAAGAATCCAACAAACGTCGATGAATTATGGACTAATTTGGAAGGAGAATGGGAGAAAATATTCGTTAATGAATGAAAGACATTAATTCGTTCATGCAGGAAAAGATGTCAAGCTGTTATTGAAAGTAAAGGTCTACACATCAAATATTAATGAATTATGAACGCTATTTTCATTTGGATATGATGTATCCATTATAATAGTATGATTTTGTTAATCGTTTTGATGTTTTTGATCATCTATTTTTTCGAATGTTATATAATTATTGAGCTTTATATTTTGGAATTATATAATTTACCTTTATAACCTTATTTTCCTTCATAAAATGATCTATGAAGCTTTAAAATAAAAAGTTATTTCACATTTAAACTTTTTCTTAACATCGTTCTGAACTTTATTCTCGCTACTGTACATATATATATATATATATATATATATATATATATGAGGTGAAACTGAGACTCATGAGTCTCTCAATCTCTCCTTAAAAGAACTTGAAAAATTCATTTGACCGATACAAGGACTAACCAAAAATTAGCGATAAAAAAAACAAATGAAAACTACAGACAAAATTCACCTTCTTCAGAAACAGTCATTCTCCCCTGCTGTTCACTGCTACTAACAAGCAGGAATTCTTTCTCCTGGTGAAGGCTATGCTGGCCGAAACTAGTCGAGGAACCTATTTGAAATAATAAAACAAAAATATTAATATACAACCCAGTGTTTCTGAAATTTTTATAGTTCAACACACACACACACACACACACACACACACACACACACACACACACACACACACACATAGGGTGTATCAAAACTAATTTTAGAAGCTCTGGGGGCTGGTTCCTCACACCGAAAAAGTACAAAAGTTCATATAAACATGTCCACAAATCCTTATTTTTTTAGTTATTAAGTATAAAGAAAGTTTACGGTAGATGGCACTGTGCTGCTATGTAGACTAGTTTACATTTGTCATTCATGTACATTTGTGGTTAGTCTGTCTTCAACGTTTAACGTGAGTTAACTGAGAAGTGTTCCGTTTAATAATGGCAGGCTATTCATAACGTGGCCAGACAGATATGACTTTTACATACTGACACGCGAATGGTAATGGGCGCGAAGCTGCACGGCTGTATCAGATTGCGTTTCCAGACCGAAGGCAGCCGACTTTTGTCCTCGTTTGGGTGTGAGGAACCTACCCCCAAAGTTTTTAAAAGTATTTTGATATACCCTGTACATATATATATATATATATATATATATATATATATATATATAGAGAGAGAGAGAGAGAGATAGATAGATAGATAGATAGATAGATAGATAGATAGATAGATAATCCTAAGGAGCCAGGCAAAACTACCTAGGTTTCACCATAACGGATCGTTGGCCTGGCTCCTTAGGATTATTTTAGGTTTTGCTCTACTTAATGTATTGAGCACTTTACGTAGTTGTCTTTTTACTCGCTTTTTTTTCTTTTCTTTTTTTTTTTTTTTGACTCGTAGCGTGAACTCTGGGCGATTGTTTTCGCATTTTTTTAATGTTCTTTGTTCAATCTTTTTTTATTCCTCATTTTTCCTATACGAGGTTTTTCCAAGCGAGTACCACCATTTATATATATATATATATATATATATATATAGAGAGAGAGAGAGAGAGAGAGAGAGAGGGGGGGAGTATTCCAAAATTCGCTTGGAAATGAAACAAGACTTTAATTATTTCTATAACTGAATTTGAAGTTTTTAGTTTCTGTTTTTGAAACATGGTAATTCGTGTGTAACGATGAAAGCATATTTTTAAATTAGTAAATTTATAATATATATATATATATAGAGAGAGAGATAGATAGATAGATAGATAGATAGATAGATAGATAGATAGATAGATAGATAGATAGATTATAAAGCCCAATCACATTATAATTATACGTTTTCTTTCTTCGATATTTTTATACTCAATTTCTTCATAGCCCTATTTAAATCAATTACAATATCGATCAAAAAAACAAGAATCAATGACTGGCTTTACTATTATGCTAATAGTATACTTATTCCATCTCATTGAGAAACAAAGAATATTCAGTGTATGTTAATGCTTGACAAATGCCCCAATAATAACAAATAAAAAAAAACAAAAGCAGGGTGAATTATTTTGCATCGTTTAAATGGCAAAACAAAACCACTTTATTATCTCTTTGTGTCTTCTTATTATTATTATTTATGTGCCTTGACCCCTCAGAACGTGGCTCTCCACAACTTCCTGTCACTTGTAGCTCTTAATAAATTTTGTCTTTCTGTTATTTCTCCTTAACCCTGTTGCACCATCCATTTACTCAAGCTCACTAAATATGCTATGAGTTGTTTTCCTCTGTCCCGTGAGTATCAGATTTTCCAAACCTTCCATCCTCATTATGTGTCCTCGAAACCTCAACTGTCTCTTCCTGATGTGAAGTATAAGTTCCATTTTTGTTTCCATTTTCTCTAAATCTTCGTCGTTGCTCACATGCTCGGGTCATGTTATCCTCAGCATTCTTTTGTAGAACCCCATTTCTGATGCTTCAAGTCTCTTTTTCATCTTTGAGGCGATTGTCCACTGTCCAGAACTCACTGCCATAGAAGAGTACTCGTTCTTTTCTAATCAATTTTTACCCTGTAATTAAGAGCTGATCGTACAAAAAAAGCCCGCTTATTAATAGATAGATAGATAGATAGATAGATAGATAGATAGATAGATAGATAGATTCGTGTATAAGCCGATTTCATATATAGTGCGAAGTTCTTAAAAAATACCTGTGTGTTGTGCAACCGTCTATTTTTTGTGTAAAAAATTATCAAAGAAAATTGAACTATACTCGATTATAGATAGATAGATAGATAGATAGATAGATAGATAGATAGATAGATAAATCTGGTAATATTTTCCGCCAGATTTCAAACTACGCCTCGTATTAAACAATACAGTAATTCTTGCTAGATTTCCCGCCAGCTTCTGCCATTCTATATACATGCGCCCAGTGTTGTGTTCTGTCACTGGGATAACATTTTGGGCGGAATGGATCATAAAGTTTGTGTTATTCATTAAATGTAGTTTCTTTTTATTATTATTACTTTTCATCTTTAAACACGTGACAAAATTCGAACAAATACGGTTTTAAAGTGTAGGAGTCCCAGGCCTTTCCACAGATTATCTTAGTTATTGAAGTACATTTTTTCAAAGGCATTTTTTCCAGTGAATTATCCGGAACAATGAAGAATTGTAACCGTTTATACATTTAACAATCCGTCTTGTTTATCATTTGGGAATCGTCTATTCATAATGTTTAAATGATAGTTTTTCTTCTTTTCTCCCTATACGCCCGCGCGCTGACACGCATGTAAGTACGTTTGCATTTATATATATATATATATATATATATATATATATATATATATATATATATATATATATAAAAATTATGTATCCGCGCGCACACACACACACACACACATATTATTTATACGAATTTTGAAAAAAAAGATGCTTGATGTTTCACCAGCAATCCGTCATCATCAGAAAAACATTTTTATTCGAACAAACCAAAATCTACATTACCGAAACGAAATGTGTTTTACGTTAAGCCTCTTCTAAACGCTGAATTATTTCGTTATAGAAATCACATTTTAGCTACTTTCATACAGTTTCTTTTTAACTCACTCGTATTGTTTTAGTATTAATTTGGTAAGAAATAGGCTATGTATTGAAATAGCTCGATTGTATGTTAATAGTACAAAATTTATAAACCATAGCACTTTCAAAACATCTTCGTCTGAATAAATTTTGGCCACTTTGCATTAAAAAGGGACTTTTCAGATCGAAATTGTGATCAAGAAGTTTTCGGTGTAACACGCAT